GGGAAGATGGAGAGTCACTGACAGGGCAGGCAGTAGGGACTTGGAGTCCAGGGCATCTTGTCCGTGATGTGGTGAGGAAGGTAGCCAGAGCTGAGGCCTTAGTTCCCTCCTCATCCCTACCAAACCCCTTGTAGCTCTCTGGGAGGGGAGAGGGTGAGAGAGAAGGTATGGAGTTCATGTCATGGGCTTCATGCTGGCTCCTGCTCCATGGTGGGCATGGAGCTGTGAGTGAGGGTGTGAGTGTTTGTGAGTATGGTTCGGGCTTTGAGTGAAGGAGCATGAGCGTGTGAGCATATGTGTGGGTGTTCAGGTGTTCTCTGCAGCCACCTGGGGCTGATGTAGCAAAGGAAGTGGCCAGACCTTGAGAGGCTTGGTAGGGGGACCCCAGAGCTGGGGAAGGAGGAGACAGAGCCCTTTCTGCACAGAGCAGACCAGGCTGGCCTATGATGGGACCCGGGGAGGGGGCTTCCTGTCTGGCCACACTGTGGAATCTAGACTCCTGTTCTCTCAGCTCTCCCTGGACCACCCATGGCTCCCATCTCCCAAGAGTCTTGAATTCCTAAAGACCTCTGTTTTAGAGGCTGGTGGGTGAGTTTTCAGCAACAGATGAGAAACCACTTTTACCTATAAGAAGTGGAGAAAATTCAGCTGACACTCCCAGGACCATGTGGAAGGTAAAGCCAGTGTGGCATGGATAAGCCACCTCTCCCCCTCTTTCTTCCTCCCCTCTGCCCTCAACACACCTGGCCCCACCAGTGTGGTAGAGTCAGACTGGGGTATGTCTTCTTAGCCCCTGGGTGTTCAGGGGTAGGAGGTTGGAAGGCTTCAAGAAAGGATGGTGTGCGATGATTGGAGGTTCAGTGAGAAGTAGGGGCTTCAGTGAAGGAGATGAGGGCTCAGTAAGGGCACTGGAGTTCAGTGAGGTGCAGAGTCTCTGAGGGTGAGGGATGGAAGCCTTCGGTCAGGAAAGTCAGGTCTTGGTGAAGGATGGGTGCAATTGGGCTGAGACTTGTGCCCTGCCCCTGGCCAGCCCAGAGCCCTGAGGAGAAGCCGGAACTCTTGCAGGATGGTGGTTTCCTGCCACTGCCCAAAGTCCCAGTTCCCTTTTGGTGAAATCCCCCAGGTGGCTGGGCCAGCTCAGCCCTCCCACCTCACCCTGGGAACTTCTCTTTCTTCTCAGCCCTGCCACTCCCCCTCCCTTGGCCTTGGAGGGGCCTTCCTCAAGGGAAAGGAGCAGAACTGAAAGTTCACTGAGCACCTACTCTATGCCAGGTGCTTTCAGGGGCTTGACCGCGTTAGATACTCAGAAACAACCCTATGAGGTAGAGATTTATATTCTTATTTTCTAGGCAAAGGAACTACAGCTCAGAGAGGTGAACTCATTTGCCCAATGTCTCAAGCTAGTTGTCAGGCCAGGTAGAATTTGAGCCTAAATCTCCAGATCCCACAGATATTTGGCAGGGGTTGCAGGGAACAAGACATCCTGTGTGTACATCAAAGCCCTGACATGGCTTTGGGAAGTGTGGACCTCAAGAAAGGATGGGTGGGCCTGGGGATCCTGTGTCCAGGAGTAGGGGTGTGCAGGAGGCAGGCTACCTGCTGAGTGGCCCGCTGCCATATGGCAGGAGTGGTATGTTCACTTGGTCAGGGACTGAGTAGGAAATATGACGTTCACCAGTCAGGGACAGCATGACCTCCTGCTCAGGCTGTGGGGAACACAGCCACGGTGCCAGGAACAGGACTCTGGACCTGAGTTAATAGTCCTGGCTTTGAATCCCCTGTCTGGCTATTTGACCTGGAGCAAGCCAGTTCCCCCTATACACAAGAAGAGGATGGACTGATAAGTGGTCCCTGGGGGCCAGTCTAGCTTTGCTGCTTGTGGTTCTCAGCCTCACTCGGCCACTGCACCCTGGGCAAGAGCCACGTCTCTTCAAATCTTCCCAACAACTGCACAGAAGGTACAGATGCCAAAACTGAGGCTCGGAGGGCTTATGTCATTCATCCAAAGTCCCAGAGCTAATACTATAGAGCTCAGTAGGGCCACACAGAGGGAGAAGTTGAAGGCAGGAGCACCATGGTCCAGCGTTGGACCTCAGCTCTGACACCCACAACCTGATTTTGACCCAGCTGAGGCTCTGGAAGCTGACTCCTATCAGCCAGATGTTTAAGAGGCATAGTCATAAACAGACCTGAGTGCCTACAGTGACAAGGATGCCTGTGGCCACTCTTGGAGCTGCCTCCTCTCTGGCGTTAGCAGGCAGCCAAGTTCAGCACTGAGAAAAAAGACCTGGATTCAGATTTGTGGGCTATGATAATCAGTGGTTGCCTGAGAGAACCTGGGCAGGTCACTTCCCCTCTCTGGGCTGTAATGAGGACTTAGAGCATGTAGCACAGGGCTTGGCACACTGTAGTGCTCATTAAGAGACACACATCTTGCTTCTACCAGGACGACAAAATAGAACAGTGCTTATGGTGGGCTTTGGAGCCAAATTGGTGGGGGTTGCCTTTTAGGTTCCCCTGACTCACTATGTAGTCTTGGGGAAATTACTTAACATCTCTGCGACTCTGTTTCCTTATCTGTAAAATAGGGGTAATCATAAAACTTAGCTCATAGGGTCGCTAAATGAGATCATGTAAGGGAATTGCTTGGCACAATGCCAGGCACTGAGTAGATGCTTAATAAATTAGCATTTTTAAACTAATAGTTACTGCCACCTAGTTTTCTAGGAAGTCAAATTGCTCTCTGAAGAATTACTGGCACTAGTTGTGATCCGAGCTAGGTGAGGAGGAAGAGTCTTGGTGGCTATTTTCAGGCAGGTGCTTGAACAGAGTGGACCCAACCTGCTCCCTCTTTCTGTCTCTTTAGTTCTCGATCTGTCTCTGGCATTCTCTTCATCTCTGCCTGTCTCATTTTCTGTCTCTGTCTCTCTGTTGCTCTGTGTCTCTACTTCCCATGCCTGTCTCTGTCTCTCTCTTTTTGTTTCTTTCTGGCAGCGATGTGCTGGAGGCAGCTAGGACTGGCTCTGGGGAGCTGAGTCTGCCAGTCTCTTTCCAGCTCAGCGTTCAGGAAGTCACTTCGGTAACTTGAAATCGGCCATGGTGGGAATACTTACACCACGGAAATCAGCAAATGCTACAGATCAGGGCCTTCTTTTTTCTTTCTTTTAGGAGTCAGTACACCAGCACATCACAATGTTTCTCTTTGTCTCTATCTCTTCCTTTTGTCTGTCTTTATGTCTGTCTGTATCTCTCAGTCTCTGTCTGTCTCTGCCTTTTCTTTTTCTGGCTCTCTCCATCTCTTTCTCTCCTCTGACAAAGCCACCTGAGCATGGTCACATTCAGTGTGGCCTCCTCACTGCCTTGGGCTATGCAGATGCCAGACCCTATGCCCTACACCCTTACCTCACATCCTCCACCCCCTCAGCATACTGGTGCCTGGAGAGCTAGGCCTGGCCCGGGGCTCTGGTCCCCGCCGGGCTTGGGAGTGCAAAGCCCTGTGAGCTGTCCCCCGCTGCCTTCTGCCACACTGTCAGCCCTGCCCGGGCCCTTCCTCAGCCCACAGAGCTCTCCATCTCCCTTTCAGAGGCTGACAGTTTCTGAACCCCCACCCCATCCCAGGCATGCAGAATTCGGGGCTCCCCTTAGGCTGATTTTAAAACATTGTGGCGATATGTACCTGGGTATTGTTAGAAGTGGCAACAGTGTATCTATGCAGAGACCCAAGAGGCTGTATAAGTTTGTGTCTCTTATAGAGGAGAGCTGTGTGGGGGTCTGTGACTTGGGGGAGGGCTATGTGTATCCCTGTGTCCCTGTGGGCTTTCAGGAAGGGCTGTAATTATCCATGTCTGTGACAGACAATGAAGAGAAGTGGCTCCGATTCTGGAGCCTAATGCCAGGATACATCATCTGTGTGACCTTGGGCAAGTTTCTAAACCTCTCTGCCTTGGTTGCCTTATCAATAATAATAATAATACCTCATAGGGTTGTTATGAGAATAAAATGAGGTGATATATATAAAGTGTTTAATGCAGTGGCTGGCACATAGGAAGTGGTATAAATTCTGTATGTGCTATTCTTGTGGAGAGGCTGTGTGTGTGTGTGCGTGTGTGCAGGTGTGTGGGTATGTGTAGATGGGGGAGGGCCAGAGGTGTGTGTATATGGGAGTGTGGGTATCCTTGAATATGTATGTGTCTGTGAATTTGTAGAGGAGCTCAGAGTTTCTGAATTAGGTGCTGTGTGTAGCTGAGGTAATGTGTGTGTCCGAGAATATATTGAGAGGGCTGTGTGTAGCCTTGTGTACCATTTGAGATGTGCACACGTGTCTTCCTGTGAGAAGACCTCCATTCTCACCCTGTAACCCTTGTTTTCATCACTGAGGACAGCCTTCATCCTGTCCCTCAGTGCCAGGGGAGGCCCTGGGCCCTGGATGCCTCACACACACACCGCTATCCTCTCCCTGGCCCTGACCAGCCCTGCAGCATCTGGGAGCCTTTCAGACACAGTAGTTTCACCCCAGGGGAGGATCCTGAGGTGAAGATCTCAGCAATGGCTTGGTGAACAGGGGCTATTTTAGGGCTGTCACCACAGCCTGCCTCACAGTTCACCACACGGGTGTCGCCCCCTCCACTCCCACCCCCCCCCCACATACACACCAGAGAATAGCTGCAGTGAAGGGTGAGAAGGGCTGGTAGGGCTAGAGGGTACTGATGTGACAGAGCCATCAGCTAGGCAACTAGACCTGGTGCATCCAGGAAGGCTTCCTGGAAGAGGTGAGTGGTTCTGGCTAGGAGGGGCAGGACCCAGGGAGAAGAGGAGGAGGAAGATATCCACAAGAGGAACTGGACTTGGGAGTCGAGAAAGGCTAGGTGGGGGCCCCTGTCCCAAGGGCCCTCAGGCCCCTCTGAGGAAAATCAGGGTTCACTGGATCAACCCCACCCTACAACTCTCCATTCCTCTCACATCTTAGGAAACCGGGCCCTCTCCCCAGCAGTTCCTCTCTGGGTGTTGCAATGGCAGAGTTTCTGGCAGGGCGTGGGGAGCCCTTGCTCAATGACCTGCCTGCCCTGTTGCTCAGAGGACACAGCTGCCAGGAAAAGGTTGGCTCATTTGGGGGGCTCCCCAAGGGATCCCGGTGGCCCTGGCTTCTGACCTGGGCCTTCCCCTGATGCAGGAATAGGAGCAAGCTCTGGAGGTAGGTGTTCACTTCGCTCTGCCACCAGACGTAGCCCTGGGGCTGCTGGAGTTTACCCAGCCCAGGCTGGGGGCAGAGGGAGCGTCCGGAGGAAGGGCTTGTTTTTAGGAGACAGTGACTGGGGGCCTATAAATGAGCTGAGCATGGCTTGATAGAAATCCAATCAGAGAGATGGTCTAACACAAAAGTAAGAGTGTCTGAGTGTGCGAGTCTGTTAACCTGAGAGGCAGCCTATGTGCGCATATCTGTGCTACTGTGCATCAGAGCTTGGGCTCATGGGAGAGTTCGTTTGTGTTGGTGTGCAGTGGTGTTGGCAAGCACGCTCATGCAACTGTATGCTGTGAGTGTTGGTGTGTGACTATGTGCTGGTGTGTATGTGTTAATGTGTTGGTGTGTAGGTGTGTCAGGCGGATATGTGAGTGAGAAAGTTGGTATGGGTGGTGTGTCCTGTGTGAGGGTGGATTTGTAAGTGTGCCAGGGGTGGTGGGAAGGAAAATGAAGGCAGAAGTCATGCTGGGGCAGAGCCCAGGCCTTCTGGCTTCCTGAAGAGGGCAGGAGCTGGCAGCTGGCTAGCAGGAACATTGGCAGAGCCTTCATCTTCCATGTCCTTCTGTCTCGCCCTCAGGTCTCCGGCCCCTCCCAAGGACCATGCTGCAGCCTCACTGACCCAGGAGTAGGGGCCTGAGGGGTGAGTGATGGAAGTGGGGACTGAGGGCTTTCAGGGTCAGGAAACGGGATGGGGGTCCCACAGCTCCTCACACCCCCTTCTCCTACAAGGGCCCTGTTGCTAGGTAACAGATGGGGGAGCCAGAATGAGGCAGCCTGAGAGGCCAGAGGCTGGACCCAAGACAGGATATGGCCTTGATCCCCCTCTGCAGGGAATCTCCAGGTGCAGGCACACAGCCCGCACACACTCACGCATCAATACATAGACGTGCACATACACAGAGAGAGACGCACACATACACATAGAGACATCACACATATTTACACAGACCTGCACACACAGATACACACACACAGATGGACACATACACTCCCACACAGGGCTATGCACACAGTCATGACACACAGACACAGAGAGACCTACTCACACAGACGGACATGCATGGAGATACACACAGAGGCATGTTCGCACAGAACTGCGTACACACTCATACAGACATGAATACACACAGAGCCATCACATGCACAGAGACATGTATACACATTCATATACACATGCAGACACACAGACATTCATAAAGGGCTGCATATACACACACCCATGCAGACACACATCCACAAGCAAACACAAATACTTAGAGACACACAAAGGACGCACACAAACAAGCACTCTGAAGGAGTCACAGAAATACAAGATATTGAAGCAATAGGAGGAAAAATATATAAATAAACACAGCAACATCCCGAAGCAGAAAACCAGCCCCTTTGAGGATACCCATACTTTCTCTGAACACACTAAGGCAGCTGGGAGGTAGACCCAGTGGTGGCCCTGCCCTGCCTTTATCCCTCACTAAGGAGGACGCCCAACTCTGGGCCTGAGAGGGGAAGCTGCATGCCTGTGTGAGTGTGTGTGTGTGCATGCACATGTGCATGCATGTGTGTATAGGGTGGCATATCTGGCAGGGGCCCCCGAGTGAGGCATGCCCCCATTCTGTAGCAGGGCACCTGGAATGGGCTGTGTGTTCTGCAAGAAGTCGGAGCCAGGGCCAAAGGAGGATGTTGGCCTGGAAGGGGACTTTAGGGGCTACGGGGCCGCGGACCACTATGGCCCTGACCCTACTCAGGGCCGGCCTGCGTCCTCCTTTGCCTGTATCCCCAACTACAACAACTTCTCCCCTCAGCCCGCCAGCCCCGCCTTCCTTGATGGGGGCACCATCAGGGGCATCTCAGGTGAGTCCAGTGGGCTGGAGGCAGGCACTGCCTGGACCCTGGGAGAATCTGGGGGAAGGGGAGACCTGGACTTGTCCCTAGGAGCCTCCAGTATGACGAGGGAGACACAGCCCTGCTTTCAGCACTCAGTCTGAGGGACTATGTACAGCCCCACCCCCAAAAGCCCCAGTCTGACGGGGGAGACATGGCTCTGTTCCCAGTCTGAGAGAGGGACCCTAATGACAGATGCAAGTGGAAGAGGAGGAGTGGGTGACCTGGGGACACCCCAGGGTGGGAGGGATGGGCTTGAAGGTATGTGTCCTGAATCCCCGGGGGGCCAAGCTGTAAAGCCCAAATCAGAAACCCATTGGACTCCAAAGGCCTTTGGGAACCAGACACTGCAGCAGTGGGGAGGCACAGCACCTGGCTGGGGATCAGGACTTGGGGGGTCCTGGAGGCCTCAGCCCCCATGTACCTCCTGTCCCATCCCCTACTCTGCTAAGTAGCCCTGCTTCTGCAGGCACTGGGGTGACCCTGTTCATCGCCCTGTATGACTATGAGGCCCGGACAGAGGATGACCTCACTTTCACCAAGGGCGAGAAGTTACACATCCTAAACAACAGGTAAGTGACCAGGCCACCCAGCTCAGGGCATAGCCTGGGCTAGGAGCAGGACCCAGAGAGGAATCCTACCTGCTGCCTATCTTCAGAAAGCTCCAGCCTAGTTAGGGACACAGATACATGACAATAACAACCCTGGGTGATTGCTACTATGTGGGGGAAACATGAGGAACTACGGGCACAGAAAGAACATCAAACATGGTCCCCAGGGTAGTGGTGGTCAGGGCGGGCTTCCTGGAGAAGGTGATTTCTAAGCTGAGACTATAAAAAATGAATAGACATTGAAGGAAGAGGTGAGAAAAGAGGAAGAGTGAGAGAGAATGAGAATAAATGATGACTTCTGGAAACCACCAAGTGGTTCAGTCTAGGTGGATCATAAGGTATGAAGTGCCAAACAGAGAGAGCAGAAGCTGGACACATGGACGGGAGCAGATTCTGTGGGCTTTTTAAGCCATGCTAAGGAGTCTGGATTTTATCCAGAAGGAAATATGTAGCCATTGGGGGGTTTCAGTGAGGAAATGACCTAGTGAGCTGTCCACCTGAACCCCAGCCCAGCTAAGGAGCCAGAGGAGGAAGCCAGGAGGCCCACATATCCCCAGACATTTTCCTTCAGCAGAGAAAAGTCCTCCTGGGGCAGCTGCAGTGGCTGGGGGCAGAACAGACAAAAGCCCTCATGTGTGTGTGTCCAAGGTGAGGTGGGCGGGGCCAGTCTCCATCTGATCCTCCGTGTGGCTGGCCCTGCCTGGCCCCAGGGCGCCCCAGAGGCTGAGATGCCGCTGACACCCCCTGTTCTGTGCCTACAGTGAGGGTGACTGGTGGGAGGCTCGGTCCCTCAGCTCCGGACAAACTGGCTACATTCCCAGCAACTACGTGGCCCCTGTGGACTCCATCCAGGCTGAAGAGTGAGTAGGGGTTGGGGGGATGCCAGCCCTACGGACAGCACCGTGGAGTCCAGACTCAAGGTCACCTCTTGGGCAAGTCACAGCTCCACTCTGAGTCTGTCCCCTTATCTATATTTTTGTAAGGTCATTATGAGAATAAAAGAAGAAAATAATGATGATAATAAATCGTAGATAATACTTATCTAGCACGTACTATGTTCTGGGCACTATTCAAAGTGCTCTCTGTGTATTAACAGAGTTAGAAACTATTATTATCCTGTTTTATGAATGAGGAAACTGAGGCACAGAGAAATTAAATATCCTGCCCAACTTCACATGGCTAACAAGTAGGTGGAGCTGCTGTTTGAACCCAGATAGTCTGGCTGCATTTGCTAAGCATTACAGATATTGCCCCTGAGTGGTAACAACAGTGTATGAGCTTTAAAAAATTGTAAAGTGCTAAATAAATCCACAGGGGCATTACTTAGATTTAATTCTATTAAGGAGGCAGAGAATTATCATTCATGGAATACTGGTACATCCTTGAGATACTATGACATGTACTTTATCTATCTTGGTTCATTTAATTCTCACAATAACACCATCGATATTATTATTGTCCTCATTTTATAGATGAGGAAACTGAGGCTCATGAAAGCTTTTTTCTCTATCCTCACACATACATACATGTATGGGAAAAGAAAGGATTGGAGGGACTGCAGAGTGGGAGTCCCCAGGACTTGGTGACTGACTTGCCATTGGGCTATGGGGAGTGGGAGGAATCAAGGGTGACCCAGAGTCTTCCTGAGAAACTGAGTGGGTGATGGTGCCATTTGCTAAAGTGGGGTACACAGGAGCAGGTTGGGTCCTGGGAGGGACTTGCCGGGTTGAGGTTCATGGAGAGGAACACCCAGGTGGAGGAGATAACAGCAGTTAGATTAGGTTGTGTTTTATATGAGAAGTGCCCAGCCCATGCCAAGCCATGCCGCTGAATTAGGCCAGAGGAAGGGGCACCTTTTCCTAATTGGCACTAAGTCTCTTTAGTTTGTTTGCTGTGGTTCTTGCAGAGGGCACATCTGGGCAGGGATGGAAATTTAGGACTCTTCAGAGTGGAGATGATAATTAAAGCTGCACAGGAGGATGAAGAAAGAGGGAGGAGAGAGAGAAAGAGATTGGCCGGAGGACCCGACTTTGGGGAAAGCTGCCCTTGAAGGAGAGGGAGCTGTAGGCAAACCAGCCCAGGCCGATTTGGAACAGGCAAGTGGGCGGAGGAGAGGTTTCAGGAAACGAGAGAGGGAGTGTCCGAGGCTGCCTCTGGATTTGGCAATGAGGGTGACCTTGGTGAGAGATATCTCTGTGTGAAGTAGGGGTGGAGGCCAGACAGCAGAGCTTGGGACGGAGTAGGAGGTGAGGAAGTGGAGAGCCAAGTGTGAAGTGCTTTTTCAAGTGAAAGGAAGGTGAGAGATACAGCAGACTGTTGATGGCAAGCTAGGGCTTAGAACAGTTTCCTTTGGGTAAGGAAGAAATGTGGGCCTAAGTAGAGGTTGGTAGGATGGAGAAGCTGCAGATGGGGGCTGGTGGGTGGGGTCCAGAGCTCAGGCGGGATGAGGCCTTCATCTGGGGAGGGTATAGGAGGCATGGAGGAGAGGACAGGTGGTGATGCAGAAGGTGGGAGGTTTGGGAGGTTCATGCTTGTGTCCACATCTTGGGTGCAGTGTCACGAAGCTCTGAGAAGCACTCAGTGCAGTGTTGTGGTTAAGAGAGTGTCGTGGTTGAGAATGCAGGCCCTAGAGCGGACAGCTTGGGTTCCTATTCTGGCAACACAGCTTATGAGCCCTGTGGCCTTAGGCAAGTTGCTTAACCAGTAGGTATCTTAATTTCCTCATCTGTCTAATGGGGTTAATAATAGTACTTACCTTACAACGCTGTTACAAGAATTGAATGAATACATATATTCATTTAATGTATTAAAGCAGAGCCTGATACAAAATTAGTGCTGTTATTATTATATTAATTACTAAGGAAGTAGCTAATGTCATGGGTGTGGGTGGGGGCAGGGCTTTGAAAAAACTTGGGAAAGTATCCTGTCTCTACAGCCCTTCAACAGTTCCTCCTTCCCTGATACTCCACTTGCCAATGCCTTCCCTTGTTCTTCAAACTATGCCGAGTACCCAGGTGTGGATTGACAATCCCAGAGTTCACTGAGACTGCCACCTCCCTTGATTTGAAAACTATACTCCTTTGAATTCAGCCCAAGATGGTCACAGGCCAATTTAGTGATCAAATGACATCTGAGTCTTCTGTGGCATCTGTGTCACTTCAACTCCGCCGTGTACTTTCACAGTTGGTTTAAACCTCCATTCAGTCCCAGGAAGAATATTCAAGAGACAGCAGGAATGCTTGAGGCCTGAGGTTGAAGTTGAGGCTTAGAACAACATGCAAATTTCAGAGAGTGGAGGAAACGCAGCAGTCAGAGCCCAGCAGGAGCAGTTGGAAAGAGGGGAAGAGAAGCAGGAAAGGGTGTCATTCTGGAGGAAAAGGTTTGAGGAGCGTGTGGGGAGAGGATCTGAGGCATTGCCTGGGGTGGTAGGAAAAGCAGTAGAGTGGGTGACAAAGGGTTTCAGGTGGAGCTCATCAGCCGGCCTGTGGACAGGTCACTTCCCCTCTCTGAGCCTCAAGTTCCTCATCTGTAAAACGAGCCCATGGAGGGCGGTAGTGAGAGGGACCAACACCAGTGGCACCCTGATAAAGTCACTGGTGACTGGGGTCCTAGCCATTTTAATTCAAGAGAAACCCAGAGAGTGGAGACGAGAAGCCTAACCTTTATTGGGCACCTACTGTATGCCAGGCATTCTACAGTCTCCTTCTCTGTGATCCTCGTCACCAGGCTGTAAGCAGGTTTATGAGCCCCATTTCACGGGTGAGGAAACTGAATCTTGGCTAGTGAGGTGACTTTTCCCAGGAGGCTGGGGGCGTTGAACCAGGTGTGCCTAACTCTTGCGGGCCCTTCCCAACAGGTGGTACTTTGGAAAGATGGGGCGGAAGGATGCGGAGAGGCAGCTGCTTTCCCCCGGCAATCCCCGGGGGGCCTTTCTCATTCGAGAAAGCGAGACCACCAAAGGTAGGGGCTGCACCACAGCCTGGGAAGGGGCAACTGGGAAGCCCATTAGGGTGGGTCTAGGAGTAGTGGGGTGGGGCTTGGGTCAGGGCCAAGACTGGGACAGGGTTGGAGGGGTAGAGCTAAGACAGGGACTGGGTTCAAGGGATGTGGCCATCCAACTTCAGAGTCCCCAGCCTTTTGGGCCTCTCTGGGCTCCCAGACCGGGGACAAGGAGGAAAGTAGGCCTGAAGGTGACCCTTGCCCACAGGCGCCTACTCCCTGTCCATCCGAGATTGGGATGAGGCCAGAGGTGATCACGTGAAGCATTACAAGATCCGCAAGCTGGACACGGGTGGCTACTACATCACCACGCGGACCCAGTTCAACACTGTGCAGGAGCTGGTACAGCACTACATTGGTGAGGACGGGCCCTCAAGGCTGCTGTGTGCTTCAGGTCCCTGAGCCAACCTGCTGAGACTGAGACCCAGAGAAGGGAAGGGTCTCCCAAAGCTGGAGTGGCCGGGACAGAACTAGAACCCAAGAGTCTGGGCCCCCAGCCAGGACCCTGCTCTGTAGGATTCCAGAGGAAACAGGTGTGAGGCTGTCCATGGCCAAATGGAGCCCCCTAATGTCTGAGCTGGGTAGGAGGCTGCATAGGCCTGACTTGGAGAATGGGTTGTGGGGTTGAGGGGAAGGTGGGAAGCAATGCCCAGGTTTCTGCTTTGGTTGGTTAGGCCAAGGATGAGGTCCATGGAAGGGTGAGGGCCTCATGTCCATACCTCTATCGGGAATCCCCAACTCCGTTTCCACCTGTCAGAACCCCACCTTATCCTTGGAAGCCCAGCTGGAAGCCACCTCCTATGAGAAGTCCCCCAATCCTTGCAGGCATCATTTCTCCCTCTTGGTGCCACCTCCTACCCTGGGCACCAACATGTGGACTTACCCAGTGGGCCAGGTTGCCTTCTTCCCTGGCCTGTGATCTCACTTGTGGCCTAGTTCCTTATAACTGATCTTGGGGGCTGGGGTGAGATGAGGAATGTGTGCGGTGTCCTGGCCTGCCTGTGACCTCCGGACCCCTCCCCAGAGGTGAACGACGGACTGTGCCACCTGCTCACGGCGGCCTGCACCACCATGAAGCCGCAGACGCTGGGCCTGGCCAAGGATGCCTGGGAGATCAGCCGCAGCTCCATCGCGCTGGAGCGCCGGCTGGGCACCGGCTGCTTCGGGGACGTGTGGCTGGGTACGGAGGTCCCGGGGCGGGGGCAGGGGCGAGGGCTTGGGCTGGCGGGAAGTCGGTCCTGACGAGCCGCGGCCGCCTGGCAGGCACGTGGAACGGCAGCACGAAGGTGGCAGTGAAGACGCTGAAGCCGGGCACCATGTCCCCGAAGGCCTTCCTGGCGGAGGCGCAGATCATGAAGCTGCTGCGGCACGACAAGCTGGTGCAGCTGTACGCAGTGGTGTCGGAGGAGCCCATCTACATCGTGACGGAGTTCATGTGCCACGGTGAGGGGCGCGGTCAGGAGGCGGAGTCCGGAAGGCGGGATTTGGGGTGAAGTTAAGGTGGGTGTCTCTGGAGGAGGGACCTGGGTGGCGATCTCTGACGGGACGAGGGTCAATGGGCAGAGTCCGAGTGAGGGGAGGAATGCGTGAAGCCACGTGAGTGCTGGGAGTGGGGGCGGGGCCAAGCTAGACAAGGCGGGGTCTGGGGGCGGAGCCCGGGCGTGGTGGTCAGCTGGTGGGTGGGGCTTGGGCGAGCAAAGGTGGGATCTGTGATGAGGAAGGATCTGGGGCGGAGTCTGAGTGGGGCGTGTCTAGGGGGACCGAGGAAGAGAAGAAACGAGATGTGGGCAGGGTCAGAGTGTCTGTGGAAGCCGGGTCTGGGCGAGATCTGTGAGGGGCTGAGGCACCTGGTGGGGTCCTGAGTGGGGGCAGATCTAGGTGAGCGGGCTGGGAGCAGGGGGCGGGGCCAAGCTATTTAAAATGGATTCCTGATAGGGGCGGGGCCAAGCGGGAGAAGGCGGGCCCTGGAGCTGCGGGTAGGGTCTTGCTGCTGATTTTCTGGGTTCCTCTCCCCAGGTAGCTTGCTGGAGTTCCTCAAGAACCGGCAGGGCCAGGATTTGAAGCTGCCCCAGTTGGTGGACATGGCAGCCCAGGTAAACTGGGACAGCAGCCTTTATCTCTCAGATGCCCCTCCTATTAACCTTCCACAAATCCCTGTGCCCTCAAACACCTAGCCTACCCCTAGAAGTGCAGCCCTATTCACTGGATCATCTGTGCGACCTGAGGCAGGGCACTGCCCGCTCTGAGCCTCAGTCTCCTCATCTGGAAAGTGGGTTTTTCAAATGATTTCTCACACCAGCCATGGTGTTCCCATCTCTTCATACCTTGTCTCCTCAGGTAGCTGAGGGCATGGCCTACATGGAACGCATGAACTACATCCACCGCGACCTGAGGGCAGCCAACATCCTCGTAGGGGAGCGGCTGGTGTGCAAGATTGCTGACTTTGGACTGGCCCGCCTCATTAAGGATGATGAGTACAATCCCCAGCAAGGTGCCCTGCCTCACCCCACCTTCCAAGAGCCCCCAGTGCACCAAGGGGCTGCCATGGGACCCCACATCTTCAGGAACCCTTCACCCTATCCCCAGACCATCTGGGACACCTCATCCTGATGTAGTGTAAGAGGCGACTCTGGGTTCAAGTCCTAGCTCCTCCACTTACCAGCCTTGTGGCCTTGGCCAAGTCACCTAACCTCTCTGAGCTGTCTTTTCTCATCTGTAAAATGAAAATATTCAGAGAACAGTAAGTCAACAGATATTTATCAAGTGCCCATTAAGTGCCAGGCGCTGCTGTAATTCTCAAGTGAAAGACAATAGACTGTAATAGCATGAACTCTGTAGCCAAAATGCCTGGGTAGGAATCCTAGCCACTTAGAAGCTGTGTGATCTGGGCAAATTACTTAACTTCTCAGTGTCTCCTTTTCCTTATCTGTACAATGGGGATATAAAAATAGTATCTACCTCATGGGGTTTTTGTGAAGGTTAAATGAGTTAATTATGTAAATCACTTAAAACAGTGCCTGGCATGTGGTAAAGCCTATACAAGTGTTAGCTGTTATTATTATGAGAATTATTACAACGTTTGTAAAGTGTCCAGCACTATACTAGACACACAGTAAGTGCTGGCTAGATCCCAGGTCCTTTCTGTCATGCCCAGAGACCTCTGTGCTCAGAGTCCCCAGTCCTAAAGATGCCATTCTCTTAATCCAGCTGTTCCCAGGGACCCCCTCATTAACTTTCCCTTCTCCCCCAATCTCTCCAGGGACCAAGTTTCCCATCAAGTGGACAGCCCCAGAGGCTGCCCTCTTTGGCAGATTTACCGTCAAGTCAGATGTGTGGTCCTTTGGGATCCTGCTCACTGAACTCATCAGCAAGGGCCGAGTCCCCTACCCAGGTTGGCTGGGGGGTGAGGAGGTGGAGGGTGGTCATGGGGAAGGACTTCTTCCAGGTTGCCTCTTTGGGAGGGGCTCGGCCCCCTGACTGATGGAGCCCCACCCTCCAGGCATGAATAACCGGGAAGTGTTGGAACACGTGGAGCATGGCTACCACATGCCGTGCCCCCCAGGCTGCCCAGCATCCCTGTACGAGGCCATGGAGCAGACTTGGCGTTTGGACCCGGAGGAGAGGCCTACCTTCGAGTACCTGCAGTCCTTCCTGGAGGACTACTTCACCTCCACAGAACCCCAGTACCAGCCTGGGGATCAGACATAGCCCATTTGGGCATCAACCACCTCTCTGGGGGTGCCCACCAGCCCCTTCCAATCCACAGGGCCCTGGTCCCAAGCCCCTCACTTAGAACCCTAGAGAGTCCTAGCATGTCAGAGCAAGCAGGTTGCCCTGACACCATCTAGGGCAACTCACTCATTTTAAAGATGGGGCAAATCAAGGCTCAGAGATCATCCCTCACGCGCTCTGGCCCCAAGCACTATTTCTCCCCTTCCCACCTAGGCCCTACATGCCTCTAGGCTCCCTGTTCCTCCCCCCAACCCCCAAAAGAGAAATGCTCAGACCTTGTCTAGTTATTTATAAAACTGTATATCCTTTCCCTCACTTATCTCCTATCCCTGCTTTCCGACCCTGTCATCCCACCCTGGTCCAGGCCCCCAGAATTCACCTCCTACTCAGAATTCACCTCCTACTCAGTTCCCTCATATCTGTAAGTTACAAAGACAGGGAAAGTCTCTGCTGGATGCCTTTCCTGCTGGGTGGACGCTGTAGTCCAGGACTGGGGTCCAAGCCCAGGGTGAGGGAGAGGGTTGCTGAGAGCTCCCACCCTCTCAAATCGTGTGTGTGTTTATGGATTTTGTGAATAAGAAAAATGACAATATGAATTCTCGAGCCATGAAAATCCCTTCCTTGGAGGGCTGGTGGTCATTGGGAGGTGAGGGGGACTGCTTTGGCTGTTGGAACACGGGGGAGGTGAGAGAGTGCCCTAATGCCTGCTAAGCACAGGGCACCCAAGGTGTGTTTTAGGACACTCAAAAATCCTGACAGTTGTCCCCATGTGATTTTAGGATGAGTTGAGAGATGGATACAGAAGACAGGCAACTGAAGGTCAAAGTGTCCCCTTCATTCCTGATGCGGCTTTTAATCTGTGTGCAGTGGGTTTGTGGGTTCTTGATTTCACCAGATTCACCATTCATCACAGGCTCAACAGCAGAAACTTAGGCCTCCCCCGACAGGGGCAGAGGGAAGACCCCAGTGGGCCCTCTGCAGCTCCCCAAAAGAGGACAGAAGTAGGGGAGGGGAGAGGTCTGAGAGTTAGTCCAGCTCATTGGGTTTCACTTGGACAACTCTGCCCCCTAGGGGGCTTTTGGAGAGGTTTGGAGGCAGTTTTGTTTGTCACAAGGACTGGGGGCTCCTAATGGCGTGTAGTGGGCAGGGACTAGGGGTTCTAAACAGCCTACCATGCACCTGTGTGATGAAGAATTGTCCCACCCCCTGGCTCCCCCTTTGAGAGACTCTGGAGGCTGATGTGCCTCCGTGTGGAAACAAGAGGAACAAGGAATAAGGATTCCCACCTCTCCCGTCAGGAAGTTGTTGACCCCTTCCCTACTAAGGGAATGGACAGGGAAAGAGTCCGGGAGCTGGGAATCACTGCTGAAACTGGCAAACAATTACTAGGCATTAGCTCTGTGAAGGACCACACAGGACCCGGGACACAAATACAAACAAGACCTGTCCCTGTCCTGCAGGAGTTCACAGTCAGGCTGGGGAGAAATAATAGTAATAATAACTCATTTATTGTCTACTGAATGCTGGCTGTGTTTGCATCCATCTTTTCACTTAAACCAGTCCTGAATCTGGTTCTATGATTAGCCCCCATTTCCAGATGAGGACACTGAGGCTCAGGGGTTGCGTGACATACTAAGGACACTCAGATGTATGTGACAGAGCTAGGATTTGAACTCAGATCTCACACCAAGGCCCATGATTTTTCTACTAGACCTCACTGCCTCTGGGCTTTGGGAAGAGATCATATCTGCCCCAGGTGGAGGTTTGGAGGATCTTCCCTCCTCTAGATATTGGTAGGAAGATTCTCTGGAAAGCCCCCCAAGTTGAGTGACCTAAAGAAAAGGGGACAAGGTGGCAAGTGCAGGTTGAGAGTTCCCTGTGATCATCCCTGTGCTGGGGATTGCTGAATGGGAGCAACAAGATGGATAGGGGCCAAGTGGCTGCTTAGAGAGGTAGTCACAGGAGTGGGAGCCTTAGCTCTAGACACTCAAACTCCCAGGGGCTATGGTTTCCCAAGGGCCACCATCTCTGGCCCACTAAACTCACAAGAGCCTGATGTATAAGCCAGAGGCCCACTGTTTCCACCTGCCATGGAGTAAGCAGATAAGAGCACAGCTCTGGAGCTGTAGTGCCTGGTGTAAATCTTGCCTCTGCCACTCGCTAGCTGTGTAATTCTGTGCAAGTTATTAATCTCTCCAAGCCTCAGTTTCCTCATCTGTGAAATGGTACAAAATACTCAAGACATATTAGGTCTCTTTGTCACTCCCATTTACAAGTTATTTACTCTGTGCCAGGCATCCTACTAAATGCGTGATGCCCTTTAACCCTACAAGAATCCTGTGAGGAGAAGGCTATTGTCTCTTCATTTTACTCATAAGGAAACTGAGGCACAATGAAGTAAATAGGTGATAGGACATAAGTGGCAGAGCAGAGGCTTGAACCAGATCCTCTGACTCCAAAGTCAGTGCTCTTAGTCTCTATAGTCTTTTCCCAGGACCAGAATATTCTTGCCTGCCTGTCGGGGCTCTGCCTGATACCTAGCCGCCCATTTAGTTTAAATGAAGGCCCAGCAGAGCCATGAACCACCTGGAGTTCACCAGGCCCTCACTGCTCCTTGGCAGAGACCAGAGCCACCTGAGCCTGGAATCTATCTACTGGTTCCCTGTGCCTCCCTCTGGTGCAGCCGAATGAAGTCTCCCTTGCACCCGCTTTTCTGTGCATCCTTCTGTTCCCTTCAGATAGAGCACAATGCAATTGATTAGGCCTCTGTTTTTTCAATTTCAATCACATCCTTGCCCTGCTTCCCTAAGATTATAGGCGGGTCACCTTGATTGTGGTTTCCACCGTTCATAAAACTCTTCAGTCGTTTATAAAACCATCTCTCGCCTCATTCACTCCCCCTCCTGGCTCTTCTCCTCCATGATGCATGGATTTTACTGGCTTAAAACTCAGAGGGCAATTTTATTTTCAAGTTCATGGTGGGGGAGGAGGACAATTGACTAATGCTGGGTGTTTCACAGGCATTATCTAATTTGATCCTCACCGGGAGGCGGTGCAGAAGTGTGATTATTCCCGTTTTACAAAAGAGGAAACAAGACTCTGAGAGGCTACAACGCTTACCCAAGGTCATGCAGCTGGATAGTAGAGTCAGGATTTGAACCCAGGTTTGTGTGACTTCAAAGTCTCATGCTTCCCACTGTGTCGCATTCCCTTATTTGATGGAGAAGCATGGGAAAGCATAAAACTAACCAAGATTCAGCCCAGGGAGGGCATGGTGCAGCTAGCGGTCTGGGGTAGCCCCATATGTGCTGAGGATTGTAATCATAAAAGAACCAAGTCATTTATTAATTTCACACACATTTACTGATGTCTCCTGTAGGCTCTTAGACTAAGAGCACCTGTCCTCTCCAGGAGGCAAAATAGTAAACAATTACAACACTTAGGGGAAAGGTCAGTCTGGAGGCCAAGGAAGACTTCTTGGAGGATATGAAAGAAAAGTCTGCCTGATGAAGCAGCCAGAGGCTGAAATCATCTCCCACTGAGGCAACAGCATGTTTAAAGGCCCAGAGGTATGGTTGAGCAAGGTGGCCAAGTCAGACAAGTGCAAATAACTATGTATGGGAGGGTTGAGGGTGCAGATGAGGCATGGAAGAAGAAGGTTGGAAGGTCAGAGGCAAGAGGTAGGAGGGTCGGAAAACCAAGAGGAATGGCCCCTGAGTTGTGGAGAAAAGTCAGAGAGGGCCGGCTCCGTGGCTTAGCGGTTAGGTGCGTGCGCTCCGCTGCTGGCGGCCCGGGTTCGGATCCCGGGCGCACACCGACACGCCGCTTCTCCGGCCATGCTGAGGCCACGTCCCACATACAGCAACTAGAAGGATGTGCAGCTGTGACATACAGCTATCTACTGGGGCTTTGGGGGGGGGGAATAAATTAATTAAATCTTAAAAAAAAAAGAAAAGTCAGAGAGAAGAAATCTGGACGGCCCAGGACTTATTGGGTGTGAGTCTATCCTGGATCCCACTGCTCCAGTACTGAGCTGAGTGGACCCACTATCTACTCCAGCAGTTCTCTCCCAGGTACGTTATCAAAGCCTTCCTCCCACCCAACCGTCTCATCCATGACACAGACACACACACACACACACACTCACACATCCCGCAGCTTGGATGGTCCTGCAATGATAGCCATACTCTCTCTAGTGGTCACTCTGGGTACTACATCCAAAACTGCTGGAAACTTTCCTCTAGGATGGGAGGACTTAGATCCCTTCAGAACCTTCCCATCCCACAAGATGGGAGATAAAGCATAGTTCCTGCTCTCAGAGAGCTCATAGTTTAATGATGATGAGAGTGGAGGGGACAGACACAGGCAGAAAATATGGGAGAACAAGGGAGGGTCCTAACTCAATTGGGCAGGGGGAAGTCTGAAAGGCTTCTCAGTGGAGAGCTCATAGTTTAATGATGATGAGAGTGGAGGGGACAGACACAGGCAGAAAATATGGGAGAACAAGGGAGGGTCCTAACTCAATTGGGCAGGGGGAAGTCTGAAAGGCTTCTCAGTGGAGGTGTTCCTTCACCAGAGACTTGAAAAAGGAGTAAAAGTTTGCTTGATAAAGAAGCAAGAGAAGGGCATTTCAGACTTGACCGAATTAAGTAAGCTCAGAGGCAGGAAATGGGACTGTGCAGGGAGTTACAATTAGGTAGGTGTGACTGGAGTGAAAAATTTACGGGGAGTTGGTAGCTAAAGATGAAGATGGCAAGGTAGGCAAGGGTCTTGTCTGCCATGCACTCGGGCTAGGATTCTAAGCCTTGGGCCATGGGAAGCCACTGAAAGGTTTTCAGCGGGGGAGTAACAGTCAGATTCACTTTCCAGAATGAAAACTCTGGTGACCAATGCGGAAGGATGAGAAGGAAAGAGGCAGGAGAGGGACATCCCTCTTGGACACAAAGAACCACACCAGGTCACACTCACAGGAGGACACATTGAGCAGGCCTGTGAACCAGACACATAATACACATGATGACACCTACAGACATGTCTGTGGGTGAGAACCCAGGCTGAGCACCCACAGACAAATAAACACGTACTTTCAGACACAGAACTCAGGTCCCTGAGCTGAAAGGAAACCGAGGACGCACATTACCCTCAGATACAGGCTGACAGTGAGAACCACGCACACCCTGATGGACACAGGAATTCACACACACGCAGTGTGGCTGTCAAGGGCCCTACCCTGCCCCCCTCCGTCTCCTCTGGGTCCCTCACCACCTCCGGCAGGAACAAAGCTGACCTTTGCCCTCTGGCCTCTGGCCTCTCCTCCCACACCCCCTGCCCAGAGGGAGGAGCTGTTTGAAGTCTGGGCTGCAGCTGGGGTTTCCTGTTGCCTGGAGGAATGTGGGAGGACTTGCAGGGAGGGGGGAGTGGAGAGGGGCCGGCACAGGAGGAGGGATAATGGGGGCCTGGGGGCCTTAGTTCTCATTGTACCACAATGAGGGGGGCTTCCTGCTTCCATGGTCTCTTGGGCCCCAGCTCTGAGCTGTTCCCATCCAGAGGAGGGGAAAACCAAGGCTATAACGCCTCCAGTCCAATGGGCTTCTTGTTCCTGGACCTGTAGCT